CTGTTAAGCTTTATTACATGTCTGTAAAGCTCAACTGCCACCACTATGAAAAGTGCTCTATAAATATATTATTATTGTTGTTATTATTATTATTATTATTACTATTATGCACACACTCCATGTTCCTCACATACTTAATGGCTGGTTGTTTAGTGTTGTATGAGGCCCTTTTGAATATTTACACCTGCCTTGTGCTTCCACTCACTGGCCACTTTATTAGAAACCCCTCCCTTATAGCTTCGCTATGTAGGTGCTCAGTTCCAGACTGTACAGTTAATCAGATCTCTCTTCCATTCATTACTGGTCAATATCTGTTGTCCAGATATTTTTTGGGTGGTGGGTCATTCCCAGCACTGCAGTGACACTGACATTACGCTGGTGCGAGTGGATCAGACTCAGCAGTGCTGTTGATCGGTATGTGTAATTTTCATGAGAGAAATTATTTTGAGAAGTTATTTTTCTTTGTTTTTCCAAAATTCGTACTTCGAATAATATTAGAAAAATGAAATATAAAGGTTATTAAATATTTCAAATTTTGGTTGAACAGGCAGTGCCACAAAGTGTCTGACACCAAATTTGAGCTGCAAAAATCGCTCCACTGGCTTGATAAGGTCAGCACTCCACTGACTGTTTGTCACTGCTGGACCCAGACTACTGTCCTGCACACAAGCTCTAACTAGTTTTTAATATTCTCAAACAGTTTTTAAATGCACAGAGACTTTTATTCTAGAAAATAAACTAAAAAATAAAAGACAAATATTACAAACAACTGAGAGAAAAATAATGACTAGGCCTGATATAAAATGATTTTGTAAAAAATGTTGTTGCTGACACTGAGCTGGATTAAAATCATTTACTAAGCTAATTTAGTATAACTGAAGAAAAGAAGGAAGGAAGAAAGAGTAAATTGGACTGTGAGTGGAAAATAAGTGGGGGGCCGCCCAAAAAACGCTAAGCAAAACGCCTGCGGGTCGGCAGCTTTGCCATCAGCGGGCCGACTGTGGCCCACTATTCTCCTGTTATCGGGGATGGTGTATATCATGAAAAACAATCTAGAAAATATCTATACTATCTCAGCTATTTTAATGTCTTTAGAAACTCATCCAAACCTAAATGTCACATGTCTGTATTACCTCTGCTATATAATGCAGTGCTAGGAACCATTTGGATATCAAGAGTTTCATTACAAAATGCTCTTTTTTCCATTTGTAATCATTTTTTGTGTATAATAGAAAAAATACCTTTATATTTCTATAATAAAGGTGGTTTTATTTTTAATATAGCATTAATATTTCTTGTATGTGTAAGCACGCTCCCTCCATCTTTAAACCCATGTTTAAAGCATTTTGGAACAAAACCTCTTATATTTTATAGTGACATTTTGGTGGAAAGTCTAATTTTCCCCATCGTTTACCTCAAATGTACTCAGCCAAGACAAGTTTAGTGTTCTTTAGTTTGCATCTTTAGTTTCAGCACTGGAGCTACGAGGCTAATGTTGCTAGCTAACGAGTCATGGAGGCTTACACCAATTAGCATGGTGCTAACTGTGTACCTCAGACTGTGTGGAGGTGTTCAGTGTCTCTAATAGACTTGATTCTGTGGTTTCTGACCCTGTAAGACTCACTGTTATCTATAAACATGGACTGAAGTACATTAGCGTATTTAAACACAGTAGGTTAGCAGCCAGTAGTTGTTTACATGTTTTGTCAATGCTAAACAGACCTGTCACAATCATAAAATTGTAGCTAATTAACTTTCACATAAATAATTGTAATTAATAATTTGTCCTTATTTGAAAAACAGCCTATTTGTAATGAAGAACATGACTGAAGTAGCCAATCTGGCTAATTAGCTGTTTTTTTTTTAACTAGCTATGTTTGGTTTCTGACGTTTACTTCTTTAGTTTTAGCACTGGAGCTACGAGACTGTAGCTAACGAGTAATGGAGGCTTATACCAATTAGCATAGTGCTAACTACATACCTCAAACTGTGCTGTTTAATAACTCTAATTGTCTTGATTCTGTGGTTTCTGACTCTGTATAACTCACTGTTACCTATAAACATGGACTAAAGTACATTAGCATAGCTAAACACAGCAGCTGCCTATTTGTTTACATGTTCTGTCACTGCTAAACAGACCTGTCACAATCATAAAATTGTAGTTAGTTAACTGTCACATAAATAATTGAGTAATAATTTGTCTTTATTTTAAAAACAATCTATTTGTAATGAAAAACAAGTTTGAAATAGCCAACTTGGCTGATTAGCTGTCTTCATTAACTGGCTACCTTGCTAGGAAAACTAGCACAGACCAGCATTCTTGGGGTATTTCACAAAGCAGGGTTTCCCAGCTAGCAGGTAACTTCAGACCAAAGATTAGAAACTCATTCAAATATAAATGTCACATGTCTGTATTACCTCCGCTATACAACGTACTGCTAGGAACCATTTGGATATGAAGAGTTTCGTTACAAAATGCTTTTTTTTCCATTTGTAATACTTTTTGAGTTTGTGACAAGAATACCAGCTGTCTGTATAATGGAAACCATTTTTATTTCTATAATAAAGGTGGTTTTATTTTTAATGTAGCATTAATATTACTTGTGTGTGTAAGCTCACCCCCTCAATCTTTAAACCCATGTTTAAAGCATTTTGGAACAAAACCTCTTATATTTTATAGTGACGTTTTGGTGGAAAGTCTAATTTACCCCACCATTTACCTCAAATGTACTCAGCCAAGACACGTTTGGTGTTTGACGTTTGCTTCTTTAGCTTTAGCACTGGAGCTACGAGGCTAATGTAGCTAGCTAACGAGTCATACAGTCTTACACCAATTAGCATGGTGCTAACTGCGTACCTCAGACTGTGTGGAGGTGTTCAGTGTCTCTAATAGTCTTGATTATCATACAGTGAATCCTTCAATTCTTGTTCTATACGACAGGCTTGAGTTTGGGCTCAGGTTATCTGGCTAAACTGAGAAATCCTGCTTCTTATGATTACACTGCTAAACCAGACCAGCACAAACCCGGATAGCCCAGGTAGATCAGCATGGAATGCATATCCAAACAGTTATGGAGCCCTGGTTGTGACATTGTGTGTAAATAAAAATAATGCATGGCCACGACTCAGTAAGGTGTGGGAATGGAATAATTAAGTCGTGGCCACAACTTAGTAATGCGTGGGAACGAGATCCTAATAAGTGGCCACAACTTAGTAAGGCCCAAACCTTACTAAGTCATGGCCACAACTTAAATATCTTGTTTCCACACGTTAACATGCCGTGGTTATGAGTTTTTATTTATACTGGATGTCACCAGCAGGGCTCCGTACACAGTAGCTCCAACCTGCCAAAAGAAACGGATCGAATAATCAAACATTGCTCACCGCTGCACTCTAAAGGTGTTACAGCACCAAGTCAGAATTCAGAACGTTTTCTACCAGCTTTTTATTCGATTTTCCCCAATCCTACAGATAAGAACTCGTCTTGGCCGATCCACTATGTAACTTTACCCTGATAGCAAGAGGATAGTGGACCATTTTTGGCCCACTGATGGCAAAGCTGGAGGTCTACTGGCGTTTTGCTCAGCGTTTGCTGGGCGGTCCACCAGTAGTTATGCAGAGTATTAGACAAAATTCCACTTGTCATCACCCATTTTCCACTCACAGTCCAATTTAATTATATTTCCTTCCTTCCTTCCTTTCTTTAGTTAAACTTCATAAATTAGTTTAGTAAATCATTTTAATCCAGCTCAACATTAGTGTCAACATTTTCTATAAAATAATTTTTTGTAATATTTGTAATTTTCCAAAATAAAAGTCTCTGTGCATTTAAAATCTGTTTGAGGAGATAGTTAGAGCTTGTATGCAGGACAGTAATCTGGGTGGTCCGAGGGTGGACCAGCAGTGGCAAACAGTTAGCAGGGTGCTGACCTTATCAAGCCAGAGGACCAATATATCGCTGTTGTCAGAAGAAAACCTCGCATCTTCAATTTTGAGGTTTTCCAGTTTTGGACATAATTTGAAAATACCTCTTACCCTGTACATTGTGTGTAAATTTCATGATGAATGGACTAAAAGAAATGACCCAAAATGAAAAAATTCTGGTTCCACTGACTTACATTGAAAGTAAAGTAGGTTTTTTCCTTCTCCTGCAAAGTTACCATTTTGGAAATATGAGGTTTTCTTCCGACAACAGCGATATGCTTGCTATCAGGGTATTTAGGGTAACTGGGGGAATCAGATTTTTTTTTGGTCTGAATGACTAAACAATTCCTAATTCTCCACTTTTCTCCATTATTACCACAGTGATTTTGTTACATCCCCAAAGCTCTTCTATCCAGGCTTTATATCTTTATTCTTGTTCCTGCTTCCAACATATCAGCAGGACACCTAGAACCTGGCTCAGGTGAACTGAACTGGATTAGAACAAGAAGTCATGTCAGCAGAACCTGTGTGTTAGGTCACCTTCATCTGTTAGCCCCGCCCCACAGCACCTGATTGGTTGAAAAGCGCTTTATCTGAAGTTATGCATCATTTACAGGGGGTTTATTCTGCTGGAACTACTTCTTCCGGCGGGAGAAACGGCTCATATTGAAACGTATTTAAAACCACGCTACACATTTTTTCTTTAGTTCGTAAAGCCTGTATAAAAGTGACAGAACATTCGTATAAGACTGCGGCTGCGATTCGGTCGCAGATCAGCTCGGTTGTGACTTTATTCCACCTCCAGCGTTCTATTGCTTACTTACGTAACCGCTCTACAAATTTAAGAAAAACGTAAAAGAAGCCCAAAACGTTGTTTTACATACATATTTTATTATTAGCGGCTTCTTCCGCCAAAGAAAGTAGTTCCGGTAGTGTAGAGATAAGCTACTCTTGTTGCCTAGCGACCATGAATGATACAGGTATGGTGGAAATAAAACACGCCTTAGCCAAAGGAAACACATGACTGTAGTGGTAAAACACGGATGTTGGTGTTGGTGTATATGTGTATACGTATGTAGGCATTCGAGTCCATATTTTATTTAACATAATTCATATTGCAGTCATTGTGAACAGCTGGGATTTCAATATACACAATAGAATTGTAACATTTTCTGCCACCCTGCCCAATCCCCCCCAACCCAAACCAAACCGGACCCTCTTCACAAAAATCCAACTCTCTGCGCCCCCCCCAACACTCCCCCCCTCTTCCCCACTATTACACATGGAGAAAACCTTAACAAAACAAATGATCTCCCAATCCTCTACAGCCAAACCTGCATACTGAACCTGTCCGCCGTTTATGTATCGCTGAGTCAGTCAACAAGTCCGTCAGTCTGTCCTGGACGTGCGTCTGTGTGTGTCAGGGTCCTCCTATCGATACATAAGTATTTGTAGTCAAATACGTGTGCCATTCTGCCCCGGTGGAGCTCAGCCTCAGCCGTCTGCCGAGCTCGGCCAGTCTCCGCAAAGAAACGTCTATAGAATGTACGTCAGAGAGGGGGGAAAAAACAAAAACAAAACAAAGCAAAAAAGGATTTTCTTCCACTTACTGGAGCGTCTGCGTTTTATTTCGTCTGTCGATCGGTTGCCGCGTTACAGCTCAGCCAAAAACAACAAACCAAAACATCCAAACCAAAACTGTGGGCACCAGCAGAGTGGCATCATATCTATCGCCTCGGCAATCTCCGAGCAACTTTATTTTCTTTTTTACTGACTGTTCAAGCCTCACCTGTCTTTAAAACCCCACCCACCTCCAAAAAAAGCCCCTCCCACCCCCGCCTGCCCCCCCTCCGCTCTCCGTCAGTGTCAGTCAGCGTGTGTAAACGATAAATGTGTCTTGGTATGGAGCGCCGGCCCGGCCGGGCGGGGCACTATTTCAGACACCGCTCAAAGTAGGTGGCCCCCACGTATCCGCCGCGCAGCGACCGCTGGACGTTCTGCTCGAAAAGCCGCCGGTTCGTTTGCAGCACCTCCGCAGCCTCTTTGTTCAATGGGTCTTCGGGATTTGGCTCCTGTAGGGGGTGCACAAGGACAAAACACAGCAGTTTTGCAAGTCAAATACTGAAATACATGTACTGGCAACATTTAAGGGACAGTTCAGCACAGTTTTCCCCCTTTTACTCCAATCAGCTAAGACATGTTTGGCATCTGAAGTTTGCCTCTTTAGCTTTAGCACTGGAGCTACGAAGCTAATGTAACTAAAATGCAATAAAAGATATATTTAGCAATTAACATGGTGCTAATCCAGGCTGCGTGGGCTGCTCTCGGTAGCTTTTATTACTTTAACAACTGATCGTGCTAATTAGCCGTCCGGACCAGCAGGAAAGTATTCAGTTTGTACCTGACATTAAAAACTGAGTTTAGCGCTCAGCGCTCAACACAATCAGACACATCAGCAAACCCATCAATGTGTGAATCACTTCTAATCTTAATACACATAAACATAAAATAAACCCCCCAAAACACAGTAAAGAAGGACGAAGCTAAAGTTGGCTTCCTATTCGCAGCTTCTTGTTCGGGTTTTCCCGTTCCACCTTAAATGGTGCAGCAGTCACTTTCTGTTGCCTGAAGCTGCAACATTTAAGGTGGGACGGGAAAATTCGAACAAGAAGCTGGCAAGGTGCTAACATTATTATGAATATCTACACGGATTAAGGAATGCTGTAACTTACTGCTGCAAAGCTTTAACCATCACTGTAAATAAATAACTACTACATAAAGCTAAAAGATCCCCTGAATAGACTATTAAATGAAATCAGCTTAATATAAAACCAGAGAAAAAACAATCACATCAGCAGGTTCTCTGTGCCTCATTAACCACACGGCCATATCTACACAGACATCACACAAACAATACACATCACACAGACATGAGTGTGGATCACTGCGTTCCCTCCGTTATATAATCCTATCCCACTTTCTGAGTGGAATATTCTTGAAATAGTGTAATTTTGGACAGTATCTTTCTTAAACCGCCGCTCTGTAATGGTACTGAATGCAGTCCAGCCCCAAAATGGCGGTGCCGTTTACGTGCCTGGCTGGACCCACCGCGGCATCTAGGTGTGCATATCTATGAGCAGGCCTAAATCATCTACTCTCCTCAAAGCATGTGGAGATGTTCAGTACCTCTAATGAAGCACATTAGCATAGCTAACAACAGTAGCAGCCAGGGACAGGGAAGGGGAAGTGGGAGCTGAAGCATTTCCAGATTTCAGGATTATTTAACCGCAACTGCTAAAAATACTTTTTGAAAAAATAAACTAAAAAAAAAAACTTTATAATAAATTTTAGGGTGAAGTTTGTATTTTTTCTTTATTCGTATTCATAATCTGCCGTAGCCGTGCACCGTTTGAGCCAACGCTGCATTTTTACTAAAGCGAGCAGAGTCACTTCCCTCACCAACTCTCTGGTCACTCTGGGGTCTCTCTAAAATGCAAGCAATATTAGCAGCCTAATTTTTAATATAAAAAAGTATTATCTAACGTTATAACGACTCACATTTTGAACACGTGAGTTTTCTCCAACTGTTGCATCTCCAGTTCGAGTGTTAAATCTCGGAGTGTAGCTTCACTATCTGCGACACAATCTGTTACCATACCACATATCAGCAATCTGACTGGTCGCTGCTCAGCTCATCTTGAGAATGAGAAAGAGCAGAACGAGCAGAGCGTCCATCAGCGATCTGATGCATCAGGTATGTCGTCTCTCGCCTCTTATAGCATGTTATGTTGTTTCATTTCATGACAGGTACTTTTTCAGAAAAAAAAATTCACTGCTTAAAATTTCTACACCTCCAAATTAAAAGACCTTCCCAAATCCCTGCTGTAGAACGTACTGTAATCATTAAACATGGACTAAAGTGTGGACAGATTCAGGCTTTATAACATTATTACAGTACTTAAATTAAAGGAGGACACTCCTACACTGAACGTGCCTGACCAATTGCATTTGTAGTAAAGGGAGGGACTGAGGAATTTAGATTCACTGAACTACCCCTTTAAAATAGTACAATAATTCATTTAATATGAGTGAACAACACTAGATTATGAAGCGTCCACTATAAAGACACAACATTCAGGTTTTAATGAGTTTCTATGGATCTAATCTTTATACAAAGATGAAAATACTGTGGACGGCACAGAACTGCTGAGATTTCTTCAAGCTGTGCATCATTATAACGCCATGGTGTTTGGTTTTGTTTAGTGGAAGCTGCACTAAAGCAGGCACTGTGTTTACCTGTGATATTATAATCAACCCTCAAGTCCGTAAATCATCTGTTTCCCTTTCAGACAAAAGTCCCGACCACCTGGGACCCTCAGACTCAGCGTGGTGCTGCTTCAGCAGATGTACGATACTGAAATATTGAAATATCTGTAACCTACATTATTGTTTAGCACTGCTCTGAGTTTGAAAGATGCGCCACACTGTAACATTTCTAGGCCTGTAAATCTCTAAATTTGCAGCAATTATATTGATTCAATGCATCATGAAATTTACAAACAACACTAATGATAATAATAATAATAATAATAATAATTTTTGTTATTTTCACTCTTTAAAAAGGTATGAAAAACAAAACAATACAGCAAATTAAACCCAATGGATTTTCCCATTTCAAAACAGTCTGAGAATTTTCATTACATACTGTATTAATATTCCTACAAAATTCATTCAGATTGAGAACTCAGTTTAGAAAGAACTGCTCAAGATGCTTTATCCTCTGTATCACCATGTAGAACTTTCAGATCTAATTTTGCAAGAGGATCTATATCAGCTTGAGGAATGCTTTCTATGCATTAAGCAATTTAGATTTAATTAACTCAAATTAACTTGATTTACTTAGAATGATCTCTACAGTGTAAAGATTTTTGCTTTTCTATTTATAATGTTTATATTGTTAATTCATCACAATTCCCATGTGCAATATCATCAATACTTCATGTGCAATATGGGTAAAATACGAGTTTTTGCTTTTTTTTTAATTATAATGTTTATACGATTAATTTTTGTGAATTGAGTTTATGTGAAGAATAAAGTCTATATTTTTTCTTATTTTTTATCTTTAGTTTTATATATAATGTACTATAATAATACACAGCAATATACAGTAATAAGTAACATACAGCACTATCTGGAACGTTCAATCCTCTGAGCTGACAGTCTGTGACTGAAGTGCCCTTGAGCAAGACACCTAACCCCCAACCGCTCCCCGGGCGCTGTGGATAGGGCTGCCCACCTCGCTGGGCAAGTGTGCTCACTGCCCCCTAGTGTGTGTGGGTTCACTAGTGTGTATGTGGTGTTTCACTGCACAGATGGGTTAAATGCAGAGGTGAAATTTCCCCATTGTGGGAATAATAAGGGTTACTTAAAAATAAGTTAAATTAACTTAAATTTAAAAAGTAACAAACTGTAACCTTGTTAAGTAATTAATAAGGTTATTTGCTTTGTTTGTTTATTCTCTTCTTGCTATTTCCTTTCTTGAGTGCTTTGTTTTCCTTTTGCTGCTATATCTCTATGAATTTCCCCAACTGTGGGACTAATAAAAGTATTATCTGATCGTATCGTATCTTAATGTCTTCAAAGAAAATCACTTGACCCTTCAACAAAGACTTTCCTCTTTTTTATGAATTACCAAGAAAAATTACAGAAATGTGAAAGTTGTTTTCTAATTCTGCAACCAAAATGTATCGTATTGTGATGTAAAAACAAAACGTATATCATTTTGAGATTTGCGTACAGTTACAACCCCAATAATCTGAACACTGTGAGGCTGTGAACTTTTGAACGTAATGATTTTGCTCACGTGAGCAGGACACATTGTGTATTATTGTATTATTATGCACTTGAGAAAAGCCTGAATGCACTTCATTACAGGAGACACTTTCATACAGACAACAAACCTGGACTGAATTGAACCGAAAAAGGAGAAAAAAACTCATTTATAAGGTCCACTCACTAAGAATAGATACTGTAGTCCGTATATGATGGAGTTAATTGTCAACACAGGCTTCCAGTCTTCTCTGAAAGAGGAAAGAAAAGAGGCGAATTACTTAACGTTATTCAGCAATTCAATGATAAACAGCAGTTAGTTCACTGAGAATACAGTAGATTCAGTAGTATAACAGGATCTCTGTAATTATGTGCTTTAGAGGGTACCTTAAAATATTTAGACAGACGTTTCCCTCCAGGTCGATGTTGGGGTGATACACCATCGTTTCACACTTCACTTTAGGTGGGTCGTGAGGGTAGCCCTGTCCTACCTGTGAAAACAAGAAACGGGGTCAGAAATAATCCTGAAGAACTGCAGCTGCAAAAGTAAACACAAGTAACTTTATAGGAGGAAAATGGATCTGAGTCTTTCAGCGTCACAGCCCCAAATACTGGAACACAACACTCCCTCACTTTCCTCCTTCAAAGCTCAGCTTAAAACACACCTCTTTTCTCAGAACTTTCATTCTTCTGATAGCTTTTTTTGCCTCTGTAAAGTGACTTCGGGTTTGAGAAAGGTGCTATATAAATCAAACTTATTATTATTATCATTATTAGGAACCAAAACGGTTCTGCGGCCTATGGGTCTGCTCACAGGGTGCATAATGTCAATCGTGATTTTTTTATTTATTTTTTTGGTCCTGCAGACAGGCCTGTCACAATTATTAAATAATCACCTGATAGCAATTATTTGAGATAATCACATTTATTTAATATAATAGCAATTATTTTCCACAGTAATTAGATTTCATAATCATATTGTATTGCCTTGAGCTAAATAAATGAATCTCTTTCTAATAACTTTGGCTACGTTCACACAGCAGGTAAAAAAAGGCCCAAATCCGATCGTTTTCTCCATATGTGACTCAGATGTGTGTCTGTGTGTCAGTGTGAACTGATAAACACTCTGAATCTGACATTTTCAATTCCGATTTGAGACGCTTTCATATGAGGTACTGAAATCCGATACGTATCCGATCTGTGGGAACGCGACTCAGTCTGAACAGCCAGATTCAGCGTTCGTTGGCGGTCGTGATTGTTTACCTCTGGATGAGCCGTGACGCAGCGTGACGCTCTGTTCTTTTGCGCATCTGGGTCAGTTTAGGAGCTGATCTGTTCAGACTGATGTTGCATACAGACCACATTTAAAAGATATTTGGAACAGCAATTTGGGCTGAAACACTCCTTATAGCCTCAGTGTGAGTGGGTGGGGCTGAACTGCTAAAGGCTGAACAGGTGGATGTGTGTAAATGTGTTGGTTTCTTAGCCAAATCACAAAAACGCTTATTTCAAAACAGGAATTTTTGGTTTTAACAACAAAATCTTACATAGTGCAGCTTTAAACGTATGTCTAATGTGACGTTTAAGGTTGGTTACATTTTAAAGATAAATGCTGAAACTAAATTCTAACATTTTAGATCCAGCTAGATCATCACAGCCTCTGCTCTTCTAGGAAAGCTTTACACTAGATGTTGGAACATTGCTGTGAGGATTTGACTGTATTCAGCCACAAGAGCAGTAGTGAGGTCAGGTACTGACGTTGGATGATTAGTTATGGATCACAACCATTACTCCACTTCATCCATGAAGCTTACAGTCGAGTGTTTTCAAAGCATTGTTGTGTTCTCGTCTGAATGGAATGGTCGTGGCTCTGAGAACACCTAGGAGAATGCTGTCTGCAGAAGCAGTGCTAGTTTGCTTTTCTGTCTATGACTCATCTGGGATGCTTACCTTAAAGCTGAACACAAACTTCCCTCCTTTATAGAAGCCCTGTAAAACAAATACATATAAAAATACACCTGAATGTCCATGTGGTACACAAACCAAGGTCATATATATCATCTTTTGGCATCCCGATCCAAGACAATGTCTCTCACATTTAGCAATGAATGGTAACAATGTAAAAATCAGCTTTATATTCATGCATGCAAATCAGTTCTGGCGATATACATGGCTTTCTCACGTTTAGGGGAATTCCACAGACTTTTCCAAATTTCTGCATAATTAAAAGATGTACGGATGTAAACAGAGTCGTTCAAATGCTCTATTCCAGAGTCAGAACTGTTCACAGTGGTGGTGATAGGAACCAGACGTCCACCTCTAAAAGCTCCCTCACAGAAAGTTACTACATGAAATGGTTATGAATTCACTGCCTGATGACTGAGATACTGTTTTATGATAGTTTTGGCCTTAAACTCCATTCATGCTGGAGGGATACATGATATGCAGGGCGCTGTGAGGCAAAATAGTCCCCAAAGAAAACTTATTATTTCAGATTTTCCACTATTTTCCATCATCAACATTCCATATAAACTCAGAAGACTCGTGTAGGTTCACTGGTGGTTCTGGATAGTAAATAAAATGTCTATATCTGTGTTGTAGTCATGGCGACCCCTGGTTCCTATCACCACCACTGTAAAGACATCTGAACCATTTCACACCAAACCACTCTGAATCTCTGTTTACAACATGTCAACCATTTAATTTTATAAAATAGTGGGATTTCCCTTTAACAACTGCACCTTTTAAAGTGAAATGGAAAATTCAAATGAAAGCCAATTTCAGGCTTGTAGATTCTGTGCTGAGAGATGTTGGATGTTCTAAGAAGTTACACTGCAGTTCTGTAAGTTATCCAGCACTTAAGTTAGTTTTTAGACTTTTTATAGTAGTTTTTTTGTTTTGTTTTGCTATGTTGACTTTGTTTACTGCAGTCACTATTTCACCATAAATAAGGACAATGACCGGCATCATTAATCATTACTGCTGCCTCACTAAGACGCAATGCAACACGATAGTTTCATCAGACTGAGAGTGACAGAAGTGTAGAAGTGACCTCGTCTGGTGAAATGATGAGTTTAAAGTTCAGTAGATCATCCTGATCAGGAAACACAATCTCACACGTCTTTGGAAGGTTCAGCTCGTTGATATCTGAGTGAGAGAAAGAGAACAAAACAGGGAGACAGTTACTTTATATAGTTACAAAGTTCAACTGTATAACATCAATAAAAACTTTAAAAAGTACAGCCATTCTGCATTCTGTCCTGTAAGCTGCAACCCCAAGATAAATCACTAAATCAACCTAAAACCCCAAGAAAAATCATTAACTCAACCTATAGTCCAAAGATAAATCACTAAAACAAACCTAAAGGCCAAAGACAAATCACTAAATCAACCTACAGCCCAAACACACATCACAAAATTAACCTGAAGGGCAAAGATAAATCATTAAATCAACCTAAAGCCCAAAGATATATCACTAAAATGGGATAAAATCCAAAGATATATCATTAAATCAGCCCAAAACACAAAGATAAATCACTAAATCAGGATAAAACCCAAAGATAAATCATTAAATGAGCCCAAAACACAAAGATAAATCACTACATAAGCCTAAATTACAAAAATAAATCACTAAATCAACCTAAAATGCAATTATAAATCATCCTAAAATACAAAAATAAATCACTAAATCATCCTAAAATACGAAGATAAATCACTACATTAACCTAAAACACAAAGATAAATCACTAAATAAACCGAATAACCTGGTATGGATCAGCTCTTATGAATGTTTTTATTCACAACAATTATTTTCATTCAGCCATAATTCATGTTTTATTGTGAACCATAGTAAAAGTTTCCTCACTGGGATACTGTAATAATATTTATTTACAGAATGCAGAGCCAGTTAATGGTTAAATGACTGATGTTTAGGGTTCTGAGCTCATGCTCTGTTTACCCTTCAGGTCTCAGACTGTCTGCAGATGGAGCCTCTAGTTGTTCCTGTTGGAGACGGAGCTGTTTTTACTTCCACCAACCGCCCCCCAACCACCACCAACCCCCCACGCCCCCCCTTCAATCCTGCTCACACTGCATCATCTTCAATGCACACATTAATAAAGGGGTTCTGACTTCAGTTCAGTATTGATAAACAGAAAAACGTGACATCACTGTCAGCAACAAGACATATGGGCGCAGCCTATCAGAGTAAAGTGGGCAGGCGATGAAGGGCGGAGCTTATGATATGGACACACCCACTCTAATGACTTCTTTTTCTGAACGGTTTGTAAACCGTAAAGGTTGTGATGTTTGGGGTTTATTTGTTAGAGGCGGTGCAGCAGGAGCTGAAACTTTAAACAGTAGATGAAATGAAATTTTCCAATAAAGCTTTTTCAGTTTCTGCCGAAATTCATCTCTTAATTTGTCTGTTAATATAAATAACCTGTGAGAGTGTATACAGTCTAATGGAAGTGTAAATCTCTGACGCCACAATGATTCAATTCAGTTTGAATACAATTCTTTAGGAAACGATTCAATAAATCAAGAAATCTCAACTTACTTTGATGTTTTGGCACAATTCTAAATTATTATTACAAATACACTGAATCCACCAATGTTACTAGAGGAACTATTTGCTATAGTGAACCATACAAAACATACAGGCATACACAAAAGTCTGGGCACCATTGGTCAAATGACATTGATTTCTGTAGTGGAAATCACTGCATGGGCTCAGAAACACTTCTGAAAACCACTGTCTGTGAAAACAGTTAAAACTGCAAAAATGCAATTAAGAAACCATGTATGAACAGGATCCAGAAACGCTGCCACCTTCTCTGGGCCTGAGCTCATTTAAAATGGACTGAGGTGGAAGTGGAAAAGTGTCCTGTGGTCCAGCGAATCAACATTTAAATTATTTTGGGAAATCTTGGACACTGGGTCCTCCGGGCTAAAGACCACTCAGCTTGTTATCAGAGCACAGTTCTAAAGGCAGTATTCATGATGGTATAGGGGGGCATTAGTGCACATAGCATGGGTGACGTGCACATCTGTGAAGGCACCATTAATGCTGAACGATATATACATGTTTTTTGAAACATATGCTGCCATCCAGATGACGTCTTTTTCAGGGAAGGCCTTGATTATTTCAGCAAGACAATGACAAACCACATTCTGCATGTATTACAACAGAATTGCTCCATATTAAGAGAGACCGGGTGCTAAACTGGCCTGCCTGCAGTCCAGACCTGTCACCACTGAGAACATTTGGCACATTATGAAATGAAAAATATGACAAAAGAGACCCTGAACTGATGAGCAGCTGAAATCCTGTATCAAGTAAAAATAAAACAAATTTCCCTTTCTAAACTACAGCAGTGTCTCCTCAGTTCTTAAACACTGACAGAGTGCTGTTAAAAGAAGGGGTGATGAAACACAGTGGTAAACAGGCCCCCGTCCCAACTTTTTTGGAACGTGTTGTTGGCATTAAATTCAAAATGGGCAGATAAAAAAAAATTCTCAGTTTCAACATATGTTGTCTTAGTAGTATTTTCCTTTAAAAATATGGTTTACCTGATTTGCACATCATTGCATTCTATTTTTATTTACATTCTGCACAGCGTCCCAACTTTTTTGGAAATGGGGTTGTATTTTGGCACAAATATGAGGTAATACCTTTTGAATTTTAAAAAGCTAAATCTAAAATGAAAAAAACTAATTACTAAATTCCCATCATCTGTTCCCAGCTTTGAATAAAGAGTCTACCAGCATCTTTATTCAGGCTGGTCTTTAACCACATCTCTTCACTGATTCACTAGTGTGTTAAATACTGCAATCGAGGATGACCATTAAACATAAAAGATAAATATCACCAATCACCATAACATTATGACCACCTCCTTGTTTCTATGCTCATTGTCCATTTTATCAGCTCCACTTACTATATAGGTGCACTTTGTAGTTCTACAGTTACAGACTGTAGTCCATCTGTTTCTCTGATACTTTGTTAGCCCCCTTTTACCCTGTTCTTCAGTGGTTAGGACCCCCATGGACCCTCACAGAGCAGGTACTATTTGGGTGGTGGATCTTTCTCAGCACTGCAGCAACACTGACGTGGTGGTGGTGTGTTAGTGTGTGCTGCGCTGGTACGAGTGGATCAGACACAGCAGTGCTGCTGGAGTTTTTAAACACTGTGTCCACTCACTGTCCACTCTGTTAGACACTCCTACCTTGTCAGTCCACCTTGTAGATGTAAAGTCAGAGACGATAGCTCATCTGCTGCTGCACAGTTGTGTTGGTCATCCTCTAGTCCTTCATCAGTGGTCATAGGATGCTGCCCACAGGACACTGTTGGCTGGATGTTTTTGGTTGGTGGACTACTCTCAGTCCAGCAGCGCCACTGAGGTGTTTAAAAACTCCAGCAGCACTGCTGTGTCTGATCCACTCAGACCAGCGCAACACACACTAACACACCACCACCACGTCAGTGTTATATATATATATATATATATATATATATATATATATATATATATTTATATATACAAACACATATCATGATATTTTTCTTCTCATGATATCTTTTATGTTTAACTGTCATCGTCAACTGCAATACTTAACACAGTGGTGAATCAATATAGCGACCCGGTTAAAGACCAGCCTGAATAAAGATGCTGGTAGACTCTTTATTCAAAGCTGAAAACAGATAATGGGACTTTGTTCTATGATTTTGTTGTGACATCAACAATACGGCTCTAGTGACATCACTGCAATAAAACCAGGACCAAAGGGACAACAAACGTATCAGAAACTAAATCTACATTACTGTGCTTACAAAACAGGCCAGCTCAGCACCAAAACTGTATCATAAAACAACACCAGTGTTTCCACACACAGACTACACTCAAAGAACTCAAAGTTCTTGGAGTAATTATACAGACCAGATTTTAATCCAACACTGAATAAAATTCCATGACCTGAACTTAGATCAGCGCTCTTACTCTGAGAAGCCTGATCAACGTGGGACAATGGTTCCATTTAGAACCATGAACACTCACAAGAACCACTTGCACACTTCTCTGCATGGTAAAATAGTTCTTGAGATTGATGAAGAATGTGTTGTATATGGTTCTATATAGCACCTTTTTGAAAATGGTTCAAAGGGTTCTTCTGTTCTTCTACAAATTTGACATCTTAACAATAGCAGAACCCTTTTTGGTTCTATACAGAACCATTTACAACACATTCTCCATCAATCTGACGAACCACTTCACCACGCGAAGAATCACTTAAGCATTCAAATAGTTCTTTCAGCGTTCATGGTTTCTATATGGAACCGATGTCTTTACTAAAGAACCCTTGAAGAACCATCTTTTATTAGAGTGTATATTACAGCCCCCGCAGGCAGGGGTGGTCATTGTCTACAGACAACTGTAGTTGGTGTCATGCTCATATCAGGAACTCCAGCTGGTTTTCTCTATGAGAAAAAGAACAGGATTTCTGAAACTTGACGCCATCACGTCCTGCGGGGAACAACGGTGCTCCAAATCTGATGTTTTGTCAAGCGTACATTTTCTACCCATGTGTCACTGGATCCTCTGAAATATGAGGTCGTTTAGGAGCTGAAATATGAAAGCTGCCACCTCCGCGGTAGCTGAAATGACGCTGCATGAAAGTACGTCAACTATTAAACTTCAACACTGTTACAGTTGGTCCCAAAGTCTGAGAGGCCTGGAGAAAATGCCTCTATTTTGCACTCCTTTCTAAATTAGTACAAAGCTTCTTATTACAAATTATATTGTCAGCATAACAATCTTTGAATGTTTACATGAATTATTATCATTATAACCAAAATTATTATAATCGAATGCCTCGGATTCTAAAAGTGACGCATTTTTCAATCTATCAATCAAATCAATCAACATTTATTTAAACTCGGAGTACACTGAGGGAGACCCTCAAATGTTAAAAATAATAATCATAAGTAAATTTTAAAAATTAAACAAACCATTAAAATTATAACAATATCGTAACTTAATAAATACAAATAAATGGAAATCTATAATAAATGAAATAAATAAAGAAATATAAAATGTAAAACAATAGCTTGGCAATATTAAAATAAATAAGACCAGAATAATAAAAATGAAAAAAAAAAAATCTCTTCAAAATTTGTCACTGCAATATTCAAAAACATTACTTCGCTTACTGTCTAGGTCTACTATATTTCATGGTTTTAGACAGATTTAGTGATATTTTTCTTAGAATTTGGTAAAATACTAAAGTAACCTGACCTTTCTGTGTAAAGGCCTTCAGATGGTCAATATGTGTTTTTTGAATTGTGGCCTAGAAATTGTGTAGAATCTTAAACATTTCTTCATTTTAATTGTCATAACTTTTATTTTACATTTTTTCAAGATTCTACAACTTTCGGTTGTTCGTTTTCCAGTTGAAATGAAAAAATAACAGATTTTCAATGTGCTCTCAGACTTTTGGGCCCCTCTGTTAAAAAACAACACCAGCTACTGAAACTGCAGCCTCTTTTTTGTGTTGTACATTTAGCATTATTCATATTTCAGCTCCTTAATGACCTCGTATTTCAGAGGATCAGGGGACATTCGGAGGAGAAACGCCTGTACAGCAATCGGAAAATGTGTGTTCACCACAGAATGCAACAGCAGCGATTTTCCGAAAATAATCATAGTAAAAATTGAAACCAGCAATCACACGACACAGACAACACAAACCAACGTTTTCAACGGAGCCGTGATGGAAAATTCTGCCAATGTCCTGCAGACGGCAGCAGTAAGCGTAATACTCCGCCACTAGTTTTTTCCCCCAACTTCCCAATAGTAATTTTCCCAACTTCTGCTGTCGACTGCAGCCGTGAAATAAAGCAGATATTGATTATTATTTTTTTTTTTTAGAGCCATGTCTCAATGTTATTCCAGACGAACCCAAAATTATACTACACAAAATAAAAGAGTGCAGAGCGCCCCCTGCCTTTATCCACCTTAAATAAAGAATCTACACTAATTCTTAATTTTGGCCATGGTCTGTCACAAATTTTTAATCTAACTGCCTGATTACAATTATTTGAGCTGATCACAGCTATTTTCCACAGTTCATATGTTCACTTCACAGCAGACAGAATGTGGATGAACCTTAATCAGTTGGACTGAGGCAAACGCATGTAAACAAAAGAAAGAAGAAAACGGAATTACTGATACACACTAGACACGTTTACATGCAGCCTGATAATCCACTAATAATCTGACTAATAGCTCAATCGGAATAGAATACATCCATGTAAACACCTCAGTCGGAATAGTCTAGTCTGATTGAGGCCATTCAGAATACAGTTTCTATCCGACTGATCGAGGTGGGTAATCCTGTAAATAATCTGTTAAATAGAAGAATAATATCCGTGTAAACGCCTGTATCTGATTACATTCCCTATCGGAAAGTTTAAGTCCGTTCTGATCATGTTCATCGCGTCATAGTGAAAGTTTATACCGTTCGGCATGGCGGAGCAGAAACTGGTCTGCAGAGGAGACGAAGTTTATGCTCTGATCTTTAAAAGACGGCGGTGGGACGGACGTCCAGCTTATGTGTCTCAGAACACGACGTCTTCCTCTCGGCCTTCTTTAATAAGGACATGTGAAGGACGTTTTCCTGAGTCTGACATCATTTTAAAGTCATTAAAAACACAAGCACTGCTCACTGCTGCTCGTCTCACTCTGACTGCACTCAAGTGATGCTGGTTGTCATGGTAACGTCTACACTAAGTGGTTCTCTACACATGCGTGTCATTTTGGATCTGATTATTTGTAGTGAGCATGTAAACAGATATTTCCCATCAGAGTATTGAGTAGAGTGAGAATAACCACCTCAGTCTTAATCTATAATCGGAATGTATTCAATCGGATTGGCAAAAATTTTGTATGTAAACACAGCCAGTGACTTGTGCTTTAGAACCTCTAGAGAGCAGCAGTGAGTGATGTTTGTTTATTTGAGCTTGAGCTACACTGTCATCAGTTGGCCGCCACTAAGTATTGACTGCCAGGTAGTTGTACTTTAATAGCTGCATATAATGAACGATAATTCAGTTGTTAACTGCAAATATTTACATTATTTACATTAACTGTCATCTAAAATTTCCTCATCAAGACTGGCCTATTTTGACCACAAGATTCACTGGCTTGGTGACAAATTTTTATACCTGTCTACCTCTGATGGCGTGGAAATCTGAATGTCTCTTTGATATTTCTGTGTCTGCAGGGTTGCTTTGCCATATTTCATGAGTAAAAAAGGTCATTAAAGCAAAACAGCAAAGCAGAACTTTCCTGTGAGGCTTTTGCTTTTACAATAGATTTAAGCAGTAGACCACGAGAGGGAGTATGTCACTGCAAAATAACATCACGGCTGTGATTTGGTCGCCGTAGATCATCACCGCCGTGATGTTATTGGCGAGAACACACTCCTCGAGTGTTCTATTGCTTTTATAGAACAGTTGAATAAATAAAGTAATAAATTAATAAACTGGGCCGTGAACGCGGCGTTTAATATGTTTTAATGTTCGCAGTTCCTCCACCAAATTATAGTTCCTTAACAAGCAGCTTGTTGCTACGTCAGAGTAACGAGCTCCGCCCACTCGCTGCACAGCCGGCAGTTCGTTCTCCAGCTCCTTACACTAAACTCCCAAACTGTCATCACCACTGAGCAGCTTTTCAGTCGGCAGCTGTGACAGAAGAACAGCTAAACAACCTGGAATCAGCCAGAAATGAACCCAATACCATTCGCCAAACATGTAGTCTGATCTTCAGAGTCTGACCAAATCGGACTGAGCTATAAAACTGACACAATATCAAGTTCAGCTCAGTTTTGTCAGTTTTTGCCAGATCAGTATTAATGTTGTTTTGTTCCAGCCAGTCTGTAAAGCGTCTTACAGCCCATTTAGCTTGGCGAATGGTGTTGGGTTCATTTCTGGCTGATTCCAGGTTGTTTAGCTGTTCTTCTGTCTCAGCTGCCGACTGAAAAGCTGCTCAGTGGTGATGACAGTTTGTCGTCTCATCTTCAGAGTCTGACCAAATCGTCTGTCTGTCAAATGTGATCTTAAAAGTGTCCATTTTCTGTTTGTGGCAAAGTAAGAAGTAAAAACGTTCAAATGGCTTGAGCGTCTCCTATATCTGTAAAAGTCGTTGCTTAGCGACAGCATCTTAGTGGAGTGATACAGTATTTGTGAAAAAAACGTGATGTTATGGTGAAATAACAGCACAATTAAAACGCTTCTCAACCAAGCAGCTTGCGTGGCTGGAACAACTGTCATATAATAACAAACAAATCTTTTGTTAGATTTTACATTTTAATTAAAATACAGTCAGTCTATTGATGTATGTGTAGTTGAAGGATGTATTTTTTAATATAAGCTGTTTTAATATAAGGCTCAGGGAAACGTGAACGTCATTGTGCGGAATCGAACACAAGGTTTTGGAGTCGACTCCTGATTCCCAAACACCTGGAATCTGAGAATCGACTCGTTTTGGGATCGACTCTCAGCCCTAATGAGGCACTACTAAGGCTTTGTTTGTGTTTCAGAACTTGTTCGCAAACGTAAATACTGTGATACCTACCAAGTAAAATGAAGTATCACAGTATTATAAGCTGCCATATCACCCACTCACGTGACAGATCCATCAGCAAATGCATTATTTACAATTAGAAGCTATTATCAGCATCTATTTTCTTCTTTTATTCATATGAATAGGAAAACACACTATCCAGATAGTTTTACTGGCTGGTGAGTGATAATAATGAAGGAACTGCGCCGTGCTTTATCGACTCACAGTCAGATCTTTGTATGCCACCAACTTTAAAAAAGCAAGCTTAGGAAAAAACTCAATAAACAAAGGCAATAAAGTCTGTAAGGGATGACTGATAGCAGAACCTCATCCCTATTAAAGCTTTCCGCCATCAGGTGCCCACAAATTTACAGCCAATTAGAGTTCATTACAGTCTCCTCAACTCATAGCTGGACTGAGTTCATGCTAGAAATGACATTAACGACATGAGGCCCTAAAGAAATCCCAAATCTAAGACAAAGACATTGTTTATCTCTGATCATCTAAACATAGAGTTATCTGCTGAAGATTTCCCTTTTGTGGTTTTATCAGAAATGCCTCAGACTTAGGACAGATCTTCAATTACTTACAAAAACACAACTCTTTAGTTACTTTTTTTTAGAAATGTGCATTGTAACTGTAACTGTTATGGTAATGAAGTGACGCATTATTGTAGTTTAGGTAAGGATTTTAGGCAGGGATGTCACGTTGTTCTAACCACAGGACAGTAGCGGTGATGCTGCCGTCACATTTTAATAAACTTACTGTTTGTTAAAAGTCTTATATTTACATTAATCCCGCAGTGTATCTCCGTCACCTCTATAAAAACATACTGTAAACTTTTGTAGCCGGCTAAGCTAACGAACAGCTAATTTAACGTTAGCTGGCACCGTTTCCCAAACCCAAGACTAGAATAACGCGGATTCTGAGCTAAATAAGAATAAAACAACACAGTAAACTGTGTCCTATGGGTGACACTCAATAACAACGCGTTAAAAATGTATATTTTACCGAGTTAGCTTAGCTAATCTGCGTTGACTTATAAAGGCTTCCATCAGGAAATGAGCTAGCATGCTAGCTGCGGGCTTTTTAGAGTTTTTTTGTGAAATACAGTGTCACTCCCGTCTTGGACGAGCATGGTATTAAACTAATCGGGATGTTTAAGGAATTAAAAGCCCCAAACCATCTATTAAAACCCCGAACAGTGAAAACAGATGAGTGTGTTTGGCTCAGCGATGCTGGCTAGCTCGTTAGCCTAGTTAGCTAACAGTTACTCGCCGCTTTCGCTTCTTCGAGGTGCGACGTTTCGTTTTTGTGTAAATATCGAGCTGTTGTGTGGATGTAAAACACCCCAGTGTCTTGTACGAAGAGTACCGTTGATATTTATATTTTTTGGACCGTGTCTGTTCTCTCAGGTCTCTGTTAGTGGCTTTAATTAAGCTGTAGCCCCGGCGTTAGCCGGCTAGCCTACCTTTCTGTATCCGCAGCTGGGCCGCGCTTGCTTTTTTACCCCCGGCTCCGGTTCTGTTTCCTCCGGCAGATTCTTCATCTTTTTTCTGCTGTTTTAAAGAAAAGAGTTTAATCATGTTTTGTGTGGCTGTGTGCCGGAGTCCGTGTCCTTTATGACTGTGTACGTGTGGGGTTGATGGTGAAGGCTGGAGCTCAGAGAGATGGATGTGAATACACCATTCAGGCCGAGAGAAGCAGCACTGAGCTGAACTACACTGGAGCTCAGTCACTCTTACACAACTAAACTAACACTGAGCACAATCACACGAACACTGAGCCCAGTCAGTTACACAGCTACATTGACACTGACCACAATCGCACAACTAAACTAACACTGAGCACAATCACACGAACACTGAGCCCAGTCACTGTTACACAGCTACACTGACACTGACCACAATCGCACAACTACACTAACACTGAGCATTATCACAACTATAGTAACACTGAGCACACTTACACAATTACATTATCACTGAGCACAATCACACAAACATAACTACTAAAACATTGAGCTCAGTCACTTTTACACAACTACACTGACACTGACCACAATCACACAACTACACTAACGCTGAGTAAATTCACATAACTACACTAACACTGAGCATGATCACAACTACAGTAACACTGAGCACACTTACACAGTTACATTAATACTGAGCACACTTACACAATTGCATTATCACTGAGCACAATCACAGGCACTGCACTAACATTGAAGCTCAGTCATTCATACACAACTACACTAACACTGAGCACAAACACAACCACACAAACAGCACAATTACACAACTATGCTAACACAGCACAATCACAAGTACACTAACACGAGCTCAATCACTCATTCACAACTACACTAGAACTGAGTACAATCACACAACTATACTAACACTGAGCACAATCACACAACTACGCTAACACTGAGCACAATCACAAAAACAACTACACTAACAGCGTGTATAATTCAAAATGACACCACTATACTAACACTGAGCACAATCACACAACTACACTAACATGCTTAGCAGAAGCGCACAACTACACTAACACTGAGCACAAGCGCACAGCTACACTAACACTGGGCACCATCACACAACGACACTAACACTGAAGCTCATTCACTCGTACCCAACTATACTAACACTGAGCACAATCACACAACTACACTAAAATTGAGCACAATCACATAACTACACTAATGCTGAGCACAATCACACAACTACACTAAAATTGAGCTCAATCACATAACTACACTAACGCTGAGCACAATCACAGAAACACAACTACACTAACAGCGAAGCTCAGTCACTCTTACACAACTACACTAACACTGAGCACAATTACACAACTACGCTAACACTGAAGCTCAGTCACTCTTACACTGAGCACAATCACACAACAACATTAACTGAGTACAGTCTTACACACTACTGAGAACAATCACACAACTACACCAACACTGAGCACAAGTGCACAACTACACTAACACTGAGCACAAGCGCACAGCTACACTAACACTGGGCACCATCACACAATGACACTAACGCTGAGCACAATCACAGAAACACAACTACACTAACAGCGAAGCTCAGTCACTCTTACACAACTACATGAACACTGAGCACAGTTACACAACAATACTAACTGAGCACAGTCACTCTTACACAACTACTGAGCACAAGCGCACATCTACACTAAATCTGAGCACGATCACACAACTACGCTAACACTGAAGCTCAGTCACTCTTACACAACTACACGAACACTGAGCACAATCACACAACAACATTAACTGAGTACAGTCACTCTTACACAACTACTGAGCACAATCACACAACTAGTCTCACACTTAGCACAATTACAACTACACTAACACTGAGCACAATCAAGGCAAGACATGGCAAGTATTTATTTAGCACCTTGCTGTCATTTAAAGTGCTCACACTTACATAATGACACTAACACTGAGCACAATCACAACTACAGTAACACTAAGCACAATCAGAAATACACTCACACTACAGTACAATTGCACATCAGACCTACACAATAATACAAATAATGTTTTTTGGAGTTTTTACACTTACGCAAATATACTAACATTGAGCTTAATCACAAACACAACTACACTAACACTAAGCACAATCACACAACTATGACCACGCTAACACAAAGCTATGTCACACTTACATAACTACACTAACACTCTTTAACACATTCGTAAGTACAGAAGATGGACTGAGAAATTAAGTACAGATCAAGTACATTTCTATTAAATGGTTCTTTAATTGTTTTTTTAATATGTCCTTTAACCCTCTGGGGTCTGAGGTCATTCTCCCAAATCATGCATACCTTCTTAAATTCTCCTTTAAAGGCTGTTCATATAAGTTCAGTGTTAAGTTAAGTGACACTTATTAGTCGCACAATGGGGAAATTTCAGAACTTGACTGACCCTCACAGAGCCCTGACCTCAACCCTATCTAACACCTTTGGGATCTAGAACAGAGATTGTGAGCCGGGCCCTCTCGTCCAACATCAGTGTCTGACCTCACAAATGCTCTTCTGGATGAATGGGCAGAAATTCCCACAGACTCTCTCCAACATTCTGTGGAAGCTTCCTAGAAGAGTGGAAGCTGTTAGAGCTGCAAAGAGGTACCAACTCCATATTAATGCCTCTAGATTTAGAATGGGACTCCTGTAGGTGTGATGTGTAGGTGTCCTCTCATGAACCTAAACAGAATGTGGCCGGCCTGCTGTCACTTTTCACATTTTATTGTTTGGTTTATTAGTGTTTATTATTTGATGATTGGTTTTTGACTTTTGGGCTGATAACCAGGTTTAGAGCAGTTCCTTGTTGTGAACTTTGGCCTGTTAATGTAATTGTAAATATTACATTATATGCATACCCAAATAAAACATTAAATTTGTTTTTAAGTGAACCTACATGTGTCTTCTGAGTTTATATGGAATGTTGATGATGGTAAAATAGTGGAAAATCTGAAATATTAAGTTTTCTTTGGGGACTATTCTGCCCCATAACACCCTGCATATAATGTATCCCTCCACCATGAATGGAGTTTAAAGCCAAAATCTTCTCAAAACTATCATAAAACAGTGTCTCAGTCATCAGGCAGTGAATTCATAACCATTTCATGTAGGAACTTTCTGTGAGGAGCTTTTAGAGGTGGACGTCTGGTTCCTATCACCACCACTGTGAACAGTTCTGACTCAGTAAGTTTCTCTAGAACAGAGCGTTTCACACCAAACCACTCTGAATGACTCTGTTTATATCTTAACCAGCTATTTATGCAAGAAAAAAATGCTCTGAAATATCCCTTCCACTTTTCTTGTTTAAAACTGTGAGAATGCTGTCTTTGTCACAGTTATGGAAATGTTACTACTCAGATTTGCTGACTATTGATCACAAAGCCTTTCTAAAACCTTAGAAACTACAATTACATAACACCACAAGCCTTTCTGTGTGAATAAAATACATTAAACTGATGATCTGAACAAAAAAGTGGATGTTTTATTTAAAAAAAAAAAAAATTATTATTGACAGTAAGGGCAAACATGTTGTAAAAGTATGAAAACAGAAGAATTATAATGTCTGTAGTTTGAGTAAACTTGGCTGAGGAACAGTGTGATCAGAATAGCAGCGTTAATCTCAGAATGACTGTAATTTTGATCTTCTGCAATAGAGAAAGTGCTGAAGTGTTATTCCAGGATGTTTTCACTAATTGTGGTGTAGTTCTCAAACTGTAAACACAGCGCAGAGAGATGAGATTTTCAGTACTTATTTTACTGTTGACATCATCGGCTGAAGTAAAAGTGTGACAGTGCTACTCTTCCACATGCTGAGGCCTTCAGGAATGAAGAGAATCCAGCTTTTCTCAACATCAGCATGATGTGAGGCGTGTACATCCACGTAATTACCAACGTTAAAAATGCATTACGAGCTTTGGAAGCCAGTTCACTTTAGAATAAATGTTTTTTCCTCCTTTTCTTCTGGCAGCAATTTTGACTTTGTAACTTAAATTACGTCAATTTTAAAACATTTAAATTAGTGTCTCAAAATAATGATTTTTACATTTTAAATTAGCATCTCAAATTAATTACTTTTCTTGAATTTTTTGAATTTTGACTGAGTATGTCCAAATAATGACATTTTTTAGAACCATCAACTTGACAAAGTCCCAAACTGCTCTTTATTTTATTAATCTTTTTTGTCCAATTTTCTCAGCTCACAGTTTTTAAACTAGAACCACAAAACTTCATAGCATGGGATAGCATAGCAACAGCCTAACAACACTTAAGCAACCACTTGGGATGACATAGCAATGGCCTAGCAACATCTTGGCAACCACCTGAGATACCGTAGCAACAGCCTAGCAAAACTTTAGCAACCACTTGGGGTACCATAGCAATGGCCTAACAACACCTTAGCAGCCACCTGGGATACCTCAGCAATGGCCTAGCAACACCTTAGCAACCACCTAGGATACCATAGCAATGGCCTAACAACACCTTAGCATCCACCTAGGATACCATAGCAATGGCCTAGCAACACCTTAGCAGTCACCTGGGTAACAATAGCAATTGCCTAGCAACCATTTAGAATACCATAGCAATAGCCTAGCAACACCTTAGCAGCCACCTGGTATACCATAACGATGACCTAGCAACACTTTAGCCACCACCTGGGATACCAAAGCAATGGCCTAGCAACACCTTAGCAGTCACCTGGGATACCACAGCAATGGCCTAGGAACACCCTAGCAACCACATGTATACCATAGCAATAGCCTAGCAACACCTTAGCAGTCACCTGGGATACAATAGCAATTGCCTAGCAACCATTTAGAATACCATAGCAATAGCCTAGCAACACCTTAGTAGCCACCTGGTATACCATAACGATGACCTAGCAACACTTTAGCCACCACCTGGGATACCAAAGCAATGGCCTAGCAACACCTTAGCAGTCACCTGGGATACCATAGCAATGGCCTAGCATCACCTTAGCAACCACCAAGGATAGCATAACAGTAGCCTAGCAACACCTTAGCAGTCACCTGGGATACCATAGCAATAGCCTAGCAACACCTTAGCATCCACCTATTTCTTTTGACACACTGTAGTGACACAGTGGGTAGCACAGTCACCCCACCTGGGTTTGATTCCCCAGCCGGGCGACCGCAGTCCTTTCTGTGTGGAGTGTTCATGTTCTCCCTGTGTCTGTGTGGGTTTCCTTCCACAGTCCAAAGACATGCAGTCAGGCCACCTGGAGATGCTAAATTGGCCCTAGGTGTAGATGTGTGCAGGAATGTATACGTCTGTGTGTCTGCCCTGTGAGGGACTGGCAACCCAATGATGGCTAGGATAGGCTACAGCACTGTGTGTGTGTGCTTGCTACATTACGTACTGCTGCTAGAGGCAGAGAAGGAGAAGAAACACAGTGGATTTGTTCTGGCCGTAATAAAATGCCATAATAAAACCTAAAGTTACAAACATATACAGTATTTGAGGGAGATGTTTGTAGCAACAGTTCCACATGCATTCATTTTTGGTACTTTTATCATTTTTCTCATGTATTCCTGATTGTCCAGCTGTATGTAGTTTGTATCTTCAGCAGAGCAGAGACTGAACCAGCCTGTAGAACACCGGCTCCACTGCTGCGCTGTTTAGAACATCAGAACAGTGCATGTCTAGTTGAAGATGTAATTATCACCCAGACTCAAACACAGAGTAGATTTTAAGGCTGATCTTGGCTTCTACCACATGAGTCAGCACTGTGGTCGGTTATGGCTGCTCCCATCTCCACACACTGCAGACATATTACAAAAAGTAGGATTTATCAGTACCTTCTCCCAATCACTGAATCAGAATGACCAGATTACAGTATTACTGCCTTCTAAAAATTCAGATTCTTTCACTCAAAATGTGTCATGGAGTTTCTCATATTACTCTGCTATGTGATTTGAATATCAGAAACATTAAAAAATTATCAAACAAATACAGAATATTTTTTTCAGAGTCTTTCAACTTCTGAGAGAAAAAAACATCTTATAAACTAGTGTAAGACATCTAAACTGTATATTTACTTTATATTTAAATCTAAAACTGACTCCCAACTAATGTTTTTCTTTTCTCTTTGTCTGTTTCTGGCAGTCCTGCCTTCCGCCCAATGACAGCTGGCATAGGCTCCAGCACTCCACCGCGACCCAGAAGGATAAGCGGTTTAGATGATGTATGTTTCTGGCAGCAGCATGTCAAAATATTATCTCTATATTATAATATTATCTCTAAATATATCTTTGATATCTCAAAAAAATAACATTTAATTTTGATGTATTATGTCAAATTACACATTTTCTTAAAATGTTGACTTAGTATCTCAGAATTACGACTAATGTTCTTGAATTTTTGACATTATCTCAAATTAATGACTTACGTACTTGAATTTTTCAACAAATTATTTTGAATTACTGGCTTATTTTCTCACTTTTGACTCAGTACCTCAAATCAATGACTTGCTGTCTCAAAATTTGGCTTAATATCTTGAATCAATGGTTTATTTTTTGCATTTTGACTATCTCAAATTAATGTCTTGTTTATTTGAAAATTTGACTTAACATCTCAAAATAATGTTTTTTTTAAACATTTTGATTTAGTATGTCAAATTAATGGTTTGTTTACTTGAAGTTTTAACTTAACATCTCAAAATAATGGTTTGCTTTGTTGAAATTTTGATTTAGTATCTCAAATGAATGTGTCACTCTGAAGAACACAGTGTTACTGCTGGGGGGCTTTATACGCCTCTAGCCCACTCTTGGCATTGGGAATGGTGACCTTAGGCTCGTGTGCAGCTGCTCCAGAGCATCCCCTTCTATTGGTCTGTGCATTTATATTGAAATAATACAAACTGTGTCAGTAACAGGTGACCTTAAAGTAGCTGAATTTACTCTTTAGAAGGTCTGTCTGGATACTTTTGGACAGATGATGGAATGAGTTGGAGTGATGGAGCTCCATCCAGTGATCAAAGAACTGACCATCCAACATCAGTACCTGACCTCACTAATGCTCAATCAAATCCTTACAGCAATATTCAACATCTAGTGTAAAGCCCTCCCAGAAGAGTAGAGGCCGTTACTGCAGCACAGACTCACTATTAACACCCTTCATTTCAGAAGAAATGCCAGAGGAGCAGGTGTCTGAATACTTTTAGACTGTGCCAAATCTAAACATCTACATCATAACACCTCAGGAGATCTACAGAGGCATCTCCACTCTGGAAGATGGTTCATTTCTCTGTGAATTTACATAAACAACTGCATGCTGGTCACTGGAGCTGCACTCACTGTGAGCTTACAGTCTAAGAGAATATGTGTTGATCAGTATGAAAGCTAACAGTCAATGTCATCTGAGATAAATGACATTTTTTCCTTCAGTTGGTGCAAATTATGCTAATGCATGATAACAGGCTGAGACCTAACTGTAAGTCAAATGACCGCGAAACAACTGAAGTGCTAATTTGTAATTTCCTGTGTTAATTTAGTCTGCAAGACATGTGTTTCTGAAAAGCACCTAAATATGACAGCAAATGCAGTTCTTCAGTAAAAATGTTCAAAATGTACAGTTTTCATGTGTATACATATATGTACACACACACACACACACACACACACGCACACACACAAATAAAATATATATTGTAACAGTGGTGGAGCCCTTTGTGGTGCTATATAGAACCCTTTTCTTTACTAAAGAACCCTTGAGGAACCCCCTTTTTTAATGTTATGTATCCATATACATATGCACATATATATACATATATATATACATACATACATATATATATATATATATATATATATATATATATGTGTGTGTATATATATATATATATATATATATATATATATACACATACGTATATATGTACACACACACACACACACACACATTTACTTTTAACGTAAGTCAATGGAACCAGACCCTTTTCCAAGTCATTTTGGGCCGTTTCTTTGAAGAACAGGGTAACAAAGTATGCAGAGAAACAGATGGACTACAGTCTGTCACTGTAGAAATACAGAGTGAAACTATGTGGTCAGTGGAGCTGGTAAGATGGACAGCGAGTGTAGAAACAGGGAAGTGCTTCTAATAAAGTGCTGGGTGAGAGTATGTAGCATGCTAATTACTGTGGTGCTGACCGCATCCCTAAATCATCTCATACTTGCTTCAAATAGACCAATAATTCAGACAAGACAAAGCAAATTCAGGCCTTTGGATGACTGCTAGCATGTTCGCTATGCTAATGTATGTCAGTCCATGTTTATAGGTAACAGTGAGTCTTACAGGGTCAGAAACCACAGAATCAGGTGTATTAGAGACACTGAACACCTCCACACAGTCTGAGGAGAGTGTGTGATGGTTTAGGCATGTGTTTAGCACCATGCTAATTAGCACGCTAATACATTACTTGTTTTGCATCTTGTTATATACCAGATTGTTAACTAGTAAATACTACTAAACTCTGTTCGGGTGCTCATTCAAAGATACGCCCAACATGTGCTGTGTTAAAAGGCGCATAGATATAATAGAAGCGCATCAGGTGTACATTTTTCACATTGACTGCAAGCTCAGCATTTTTCACACGTGTAAAATGTTAAAGATCACCTAATGAGTCACATCTCATAAACCTGTGCATCTTTTAGAATCTAGAATAGAGTTCACCAGGTGCAAATATGCCTTTGTCGGCCATTTGAGTGAAGTTTACAAGTGGGAAAACTGGTATCGACACCACTCGAACTTTACACATTTCTAGGCTGACCGAATACATAAACTTGACTCTTTTCTGGCTACCATTTCTATCAGAGGAGGACACTATTTTAAAGTGCCTATGGTGGAAAACTACATTTTTGTCTTGTCTTTTTAATAGAAGAGTTTGATTAGGTATGCAAACACTGTAAAGTCTCAAAACACACATACCATTCACTTACCAGTCCATACAGTCCATATATTGAGGCACAATCCATGGCAGCCAATCTCAACAGAGCTCATTTACATATACCAGTCCTAAAGGCACAGTAACAAAAAACAGCCTGCTTAATTCTAAGGGATAAAGTGAAGGTTGGAAAATGGTCATATAAAATTTATTTATGACTCTTTTTGGTATGTAGAACTTCACAAGTGTGATAAGTTGGCCTTATAAAATACAAGACAGATGTAGCAGATTGGTCCTTTAATGAACTATCGAATCTATTTTCACCCTTTTTTGTTTGTGTTGTATATAGAGGTATTCCATAAAAATCTATTTTGCTCTTTAGTATTCTATAGGTTTAGTTCACGAGTGCTGTGTCCTATTATTCTGCAGGAGAAGGAGTTTTCTTACCACTTAATGCCAGTTGAAGGGAAACCCCACTGATTTTCAAAGGGAAGTGGTTGAGATGTTGTAATCAGAGTCATCCAGAGTGGTTTGGTGTGAAATGGTTCAGATGTCTTTACAGTGGTGGTGATAGGAACCAGGGGTCGCCATGACTACAACACAAATATAGACATTTTATTTACTATCCAGAACCCTCAGTGAACCTACACAAGTCTTCTGAGTTTATATGGAATGTTGATGATGGAAAATAGTGGAAAATCTGAAATAATAAGTTTTCTTTGGGGACTATTTTGCCTCATAACACCCTGCATGCATCCCTCCACCATGAATGGATTTGATATATTTTAGGGTAAAACATTCTCCTTCCAGTAATATCCATTGTTTATGCTTTTTATGTCCTCCAGGTCACTGGAGTGTCCAGCAACAGTCAAGTGAAGCCCTACTAAGAAAAAGACCAGCACAGATCAGCATTGGTTACTGGTTTATGCTGGTCTGGTGCTGGTTTAGCTGGTCACCAGGTCAAACTGGTTGACCAGCCTACCAGCATCCAAAACACAACAAATGCTGGTTTTGCTGGTCCAGGCTGGTTTTTCTAGCAGGGAGGTAACTGGACTTTAGGAATGATATTGAAGGCTGATGTCACCTTAAAAACAAACAAACAAACAAACAAACAAAAACACTTCACATCATAACAGGCGTAAATCAGCCAAGATTAAAGCCACTTTGACATATTACAACTACAAGACCCTGAAATGATCTTCAACCGTGCTCAAATTCTATTTCCTCTCGCAGAAACTACACTTCCCATGATGCTCCGCGCACGCAGTGACGAAAGGGCGAAAGTAGGAGGGGCGAGCGTGTTTTTTTACCTCCATATTTTATTTACTATTTATTTATTTCATTTTTAAGGCAGAAATGGAGGACGATGTGTCATCGAGACGCCACAGACGAATTTATAACGTTGCGCGAAATTAAATATAAAAAAAATAGAAAAATTGAACAGAAATGGAAACAGAGCAGATTTGACAACACAATAGGGGGAAAATGAGGAGAACAATAGCCACGTTCAGCCGCCTGCTCGGCTTTCTTTCGTTTTGATCGTTCCTTGGTGGATTAATATTATTATTTCTTTTTTTGTTTATTTTTGGCGTCGTTGCAAAAAAGGGGGGCATCTGAGCCTCTCAAGGGGCATTAAATGCAGATGCGCTGTGAAAATCTTGGGCAGTGAGTGAGAGCACGTTGGTTGGGACTGGATAAGGAGAGAGGGAGAGGGGGGAGAGAGACCTACAGAGAGAGTGGGAGAGAGAGAGAGAGAGCGAGTCATAGAAAACACTGAATGGCAACGAACCCCACACATACAGATAATTCATGTAATCCATCCATTCAGCAGCAGCTATAACTCTCTATTTATCTGCTTTAAATCTCCCCTACCAAAGGAGGAGGAAGAGGAGAAGGAGGAGGAGGAAGAAGAGGAGGAGGAGGAGGTTTGATGGCAAGTTTTCTTGATGCTGGTCGTTTTTTGAAGATGCACATGTAAAGGCTGCCAAAGCAGAAGAACAGAAGAGTGGAAGCAGGGGGAGAGAAAAAAGGGGGAAAATCGGCACAGGCAGGAGGAGAAGAGAAACGAGGAAGCCGAGAAGAAAAAAACGAAAAGGAAAGAGAGAATCTCATCTTGTTCCTGCCTTTCAACCACAATAACATTATTTCTAATGCGAGGCCAGGGAGTATGCGACCCGGCGCTAACAGGTGAGTACCGGCAGCCCCCTAAAAAGGGAGCGGGTTTTGGGTTTCGTGTCGCCCGCTGGCTGCAGCACTTCCTCGGACTGTGAAACGTCCAGCCGCCGCGCTCAGCTCCGGCAGCATTGTTTATAACGGCTGCGCTAAGCTAAGCTAAGCGGCGTTAGTGGCCGCTCTGCGACCGTAAACACAAACAAACCGCTGTTTGACGAGCTTGTGCTTAAACATTTATTTTAAATTAAAAAAAGGTTTACATTATTTGAATTATGTTTATTATTGTTACTATTATTATTAGTATTATTATTATTATTAACAGCTGATGATAAGTGGAAGGCTAAGCTAAGACGAGGCTTCCTATTCGTCAGCCTCTTATTCGAATTTCCCCGTTCCACCTTAAGTGGTGCGGCAGTTACATTCAGGCGCCTCGGGCTGAGCCCGAGGCGCCTGAATGTAACTGCCGCACCACTTAAGGTGGAACGGGGAAATTCGAACAAGAAGCTGACTTCAGCTTCGTGAAGCTATGCTAAGCTAGGCTAGGCTATGCTAGGCTGCTGTGTTGGTTTGTTAGCCAGCTTGCTGCCTGTTTTCCACAAGTTAATCTTAACCGTGTAGATATTGAAGGCGTTTTGGTGTTAAATGTGGATATCGATTATTTTAAAGTAGCTACGAGTCGTGAGAACATTTTAAATCTAAAAAACAGAAATGGAAGCTGCTTAGCTTAGCTGCGCAGCATTGTGATAGCATTGTGCTAGGCTAACGCTAGCTGGATCTAGGAATATCTATCTATTTAGATATATATTTTAATTTCGTTAGGTAATCAGTCAGCTGGCTAACAGTACGTTAAACTTATGCTTTAATGAAAACTAACCTCTGAGCTAACATGATTTTGGGGGGGGAAGATGATGTGAAGTTATATCTGCAGTTGACAGTCATTAACATCCCACGTCTTTTGCTAGGTAACTTCATTAAATGAGGTTTTCTATGAGATTAAAACAGTAATGTGGGCTTTTGCTGTGCCATAGATAATGAGAATGATTGTGATGATAATGTAAAGCCAAGCCACTCAGACTGAAAGAGAAAGGTTTTTGATCTTTGTTTTAAACAGTCTGCCTTCATTTTCTAACAAAACCCACTCAGCCACATGTGTTCTGCTGAATTTGGCCTGAGATCCCAGGCAGGTTTTTGATTTAGGAAGACTACTAAATAACATCTGGAGGCACTTGTTGACAACACAACTCTCGTTTCATATTTGCAGCTCTCTTGGGAAGGACGAGATGAGGCCGTGACGTGAAAATATTTATTTTTCAACTTGTAGTCATTTGTTTATGTATATATGTCTTTTGTCGCTTTGGTCACTGTCGAATTCTGTTAGCAGTGTAGTTGGGGGGGGACGCATATGGCTCGAAATGTTTCTGTTCTGCTTCCTCATTTTGTTTCCGGCTCTTAATTTGGTGCATTTCTTTTGAACTTATGACACAGAGGTACATATATAACGTTATATATATGTATATAGTCTGTTCCATCCTGTGCATGTATACGTCAGGTTTGGAGTGCCACTTGTTGGTTACATCATGCATCCGTTTATCAGTGAGCGTCATGGCTTTGCATTAGAGGCCTTACTTAACAATATAAAGGAGTTAACAAAGTCAGTCAATGAAATAAGTGTTAGATGTTTGTATATTTCTGGCCAACATAACAGAAAACGGTTTGTTCCATTCCCTGCTGACCTTGGACAGGTGCATGTTAGAGTATTTTGTGGTTATCACTGGACCGTTTTGCTCTAAATTAAAAAAACATGTAGGCTAACTTTTACCAAAACGTTACTGCGTCTGTCGGAAATATCCATTTGGAGTTGGAAAGGAAAAAAACCTGGATGCTTCACTTTCAGCTCCATGACTCAGCTTTTTCACATTTCTCACTGATGTGTGTGAGATTTTATTTATTTATTCATATATTTCTATTTTTGACCCCTCATATTTTCAGATACATTTTGACAGAACCTTCCAGGCTGTTCTGGACCTCTGTAGCCAGGATGCGTCACTCGTTCAGGTGCACCCGAACCGTGACGTTGTGGGGATTAAAGGGCCCATATCATGGAAAACTGAATTTTCTGCGTTTTTTGGGGGGATTTGGGAGTTTTATATTATTTCAGAATATACCATTAACTCCTAATTCCCCATTTGGAAACATAAGCCACAAAAATGGCCCGTTTTCAGGTGTGTTGTTTTTGTGATGTCACAAAAATCCAACGGAATTGTGAGCCAATGTACGTATCTGCTGATGCCATTAATAGACAGTAGAAACTGGGACTAAATCGACCAGCATCAGCATTACAGAGAAAAATAACATTTTTAAAAATAATAATAATATTTTAGTGCAGTAACTCTAAACGTTCAGCTCTTCTGGGGTTCAGTAAGTCATATACGTCACATATCGGCCTGAAATATCAGCCATATATAAACATCTGACCGATGCTGATTGTTTATTTTAAAGCAGTCATCTGCAGGTACTGATATGCATCTCTAATTTGCGTCTATTCACAGCAGCCTAACCCCACCCACTCACACTGAAGCTATAAGCAGTGTTTCGGCCTGGAGGCACAGCCAATCAGAACAGAGCTCTTCTACATAAATCAGTCTTAAAGGCACAGTAACAAAAACGGCCTTTTTAATTCTAAGGGATAAATAGAGGTTGGAAAATAATTATGTAGAAATTAATTATGACTGTTTTTGGTAAATAAAGCAACACAAATCTTACGTTTACCTCAGAGAGAGTAATAAATACAGGGAAGACATTAGCGTCCTGGAATTACTTGGTTAGCAGGCTATGCTAGCTGTATTAGAGTTACGTATGAACTTACAGAAACTGGTTTATTCGGCAGCACCGGCGCCTGATAGGCAGCTTTTGAGAGTCTTTAAACAGGTAGTTTCATAACTTATTAAAGTGACAGCGGCGATTAGAAAAGAATACCTTCTAATGTTGATGTCCGAGCGTCCGTAAGAGTTCCTGGACGGATATCCAGTCAACCGCAACACACAGAAGGGATAAATAGGGCTTTATTAGCGTACAGCTGTGGGTTAACTCTGTATATATTTTGTAGCGGTGGGCTGCCGCCGCAGAATTACTGCTGCCGCTGCTTCAGAATTTTAGACGTGTTGCTTTTGTGATGTCACAAAAATCTAATCTGGGAATTTTGGGCTGGTGCAGAAATCTGATATTTTTTAAATGTAAATATCTGCAGATGCCGAAACAAAAACATCTATAAAATGTATAATTTGAAATGAAGGATACAGGAAGTGGAGACGTTGGGGCGACACCCAACCCCGTCTTCCTATGTCTGTGCACCCGACGAGAGGGAGAGAGACATAAGAACGACAGAGAGAGAGAGAGAGAGAGAGAGGTAAAAGTAGCTAACGTGAAGCTAAGTTAGATATGTTTTGCAGTTTAAAGGAACATCTGCAATGTAACGTTATTCTCTAACGATGTTCATGGCTAATTGTTGATATTATTATTATTATTATTATTATTATTATACTGTAAAGAAATGGTACTTAAATAAACATCAATAAAATAATTGCCAACGATGTTTATATTGTGAAGTCTACATTTGAAATTAAACATTTGAAATTAATTAAAAGTAATAAAACAATTTTAATTACTTTCATCAAAGTGATGTAACTCGTTATGTTTGATTACTTTTAATTCTGTGCTGCGGTGGGCCTGAAAAACATCCTACAGGAAACACTGTACGTTTTACATGATGTTGATGTCACAAGTAGACATCGGGAAGGAAAATAAAGTGCAAGAAAAATGAAAAATGATATGAGCCCTTTAAAGCACTCGTGTTTTATGATAGCAAAGTACATAAACGTAGCATTATAGGTCAAATCAGCTTTACGTCACAACATCGTCACAGAAAGCTCTTTAAGGCTGTGTTTGTACTTGTAGTTGGCTTATTTTGGTCTAGATCAAAGCAGGAAATGATACATTGTTGCATTTTAGTTCTTAGCGTTCACACTGACCTATTTATCTTAGAACCAAAAGATGTAAACAGAAGTCGTGCGAGTGAAACCGATGGAGCAGATTATGACGTACAGTAGCTGTGATGACCTCCGCCGAACCGTCTCGATCGCGCTGCTCTTTGTTCTGAGCTCGCAGGTTTTATTTACGCCTTGTTTTATCTGTCTTGTGATTTTAGAGCAGTAAGCCGTGAGACTCCCTGCGTTACCGTGGTTACGACGCAGAGCAGGTGAGATCCCTGTAACGGCCTCGAGTGGCTCGCTGCTCTGACAGAACGGAGAAACCTCGGCGCGTTAATGCAGCATGTCATGTATGTATGCAGTCGAATGTGTATATGGAGTGTTTTACAGTGACTTCATATGTCGTTATAAAGCCCAAACGATCTGTTCTGTAATTACCGACCAATCAGAGCTGATCAGGAGGTGATAAAACACACACACGTGTCAAAACAGCATCAGAGATCGAACCAAGACCCAGAGAGGAGCCGCCGGTTTGTTCTGTCTTTGGTCTGTATTGCGTTCACACTTCAAACGAACCGCACAGGAGCTGGTTTTGAAGTGAACCGAGGCAAACCTGCTCTGGGGGTCTCGGCCCACTTATTTGGTGCAGTGGCGTTCGGATGACTGTGCTCACACTCGCTCTAACAAACCACATTTGTTTTAATCAAACTAAGACTGAACAGACCCCAAGGCCCAATCTCATGTCTTCTTTTTACCCCTACCCCTTGTTTTCGAGTGTCGCCCCTTGGAGTTACAAGGGGTAGTGGTTGAAGTCTTCCCTCTGAAATGGGACCCTCAAATAAAAAGAGCATCACTTCATTAACAGCTACCAGCGCTGCTCTGTAGGCGACCCTGCCAGTCTGCAGTGACAGCAGAGGAGGGTAAAGTTCAGCTCCTCACTGCTGGGCTTTAGTTACATTTGGGGCATCATATGATCTTCAAAGAGGGGGGCAATTATTTATTATCACCCACCCCTAATTCTTCAGTGAT